GTGAATTCAACAAAAACACTTGCTTAGGTTTTGGGAATACATTACAGTTGGGCTTAAAATAACCACGTAAACTAAGTAAAATGCAAGCAGTGTAACTTAAGTTCAAAAACTGTGTAACTTGAAAAATAACTCAACAACACTTTTGGTACACGGACACTGGTCTCCTGGGTGATAGTCCTGTGTTAGTTTGTCCGGTCCACTTTCCATGCCACCAACAGTTATTTGGGTTTTTATACTATCACTATCAAATATTGTTTTTTACATTCATGATTGAGGTCTATTGTAATTATTAGTGTTGCACCATTTTCTCAATTTGTGTTGGTTGGAGAATGACAGTACACAAGCTGATTAAAATAAATGTATGATTTCTTGTTGTACTTCTGATGCTTGCTTTTCTTCTTCTGTTACTTAGTGTCAACATATTTTTCATCCTAAAGCCAATGAAGCATAATTTAAGTTGGAAATAAATCAAATTTGAAAGGGACAGAGAGATATAGAAAGACAGAGGGATGTGAAGGCAGTGAGTAAATGCACGGAGAAAATGTACATGGAAGAGAACAAAAAGATTTGAGTTTCATGGATTGGGAATGACAAAAAAAGAGGAGGGTGGAGTGATAAAAAAGCAAGTAGGGAGGGAGAAAGAAAAGGAAGGAGAAGGAGAGTGGGTGTCCATCAGAGTAAGACATAGTAAGGGAAATGATGGAGTTGGCACCAGAGTGCAAAGGTAGAAAAGGGGAGTGATGAGTTTGGAAGAAGAGTTCAGCAAAGGCCTTGGATCCAATCAAAAGGCTGTTTTTGATTCTGTTTTTCATTTCACCTAAAATAATGTTTCAACAGTCCCTTGCTTATAGCTAAACATCAACCTCGGTCTTTGAATGGGTACTCGTTTTGTGCAGAACACTCCATGTGGCCCAGATGAACTGTGCAAACTCACAACTGTATGGGGAACCGAGCATTGCTGGATTAGCTAACCTTGTTTCACTCCCATGAAGATTTATTCACACTTTTGGAGATGTGGTTTTGAGCTAGACACTTGATTGTTTGACATTGCTTGAAATATTACAACCCAAAATGGTTGCGTGAATATTTAGTCATGGGGAGCCCTGCATCAGTGAACCTCATTATTTAGGAGTTTACTCATCAGTGTTATGTTTACATTGAGAGTTTAGTAACAAATATGTGTTGGTAATGTTAGACAAGACTGACATGCTATCATAAGGGAAATCAAAACCAAAGGTAATTTATGTAATCACAATACTTTCATGGGTTGCATAGTCAAATATACACAGAATGTCTTTAACCATCACTGCAGTTTGGAGGACGTGGTGTGGCATATATACCACATTAAACAGAACAATTGTTGTTTCTATTTTCTTAAAATTGAAATCAATATTTGTTATCCATTCTATGAATGTAGAGTGAAGGAATTTGAACGGGGCGCAGTATGTTCTGTTCTTTGCATCACTTGTAACCTGAAGAGATAGAAACCCAAACCCTGAAAATGTTTCTAAAACTTTTTAAAATTTTGTGTAAACAAGCTGACTTTTTTGACAGCTCATTTTGCATTTTGGGGTAGAATTCTCTATCAAAGCATTAAAATGATGCTATGGGACACGGATGTAAAAGCCAAGAGGTGCATTGGTAGCAACCCTCATAAATATAGGATACATTACTACAACAAATAAATACTGAAATTTCAGCTCGGTCCACAGTAATTCTCATGAGAAATAAAATATGGATTAAAATCGATATAGAGAGTGTGAGTGGTGGAGGAAAAACAGTGAGTTCTACAAAGTGTGAGAGGTCTCAGTGGTAGCGGTGTTTACAAAACTGAGCAAGAGGCACATACAAAAGCAAAGCGCACGTTCATACAGTACTATATGGTCACGCCTCATTACAAGCACAAACAGAAGTGTCCCACAAGCGCAACAAGGTGACATCAAATGTACACGGTGTGAACAATTCCTCTGAGACAAACTTATTTTTCAGAAGCAGACCAAAAATGAAAAAAAAAACTTTCTTTCACAGGCACAAACAAACACAAATGTTGAATTTTCTCAAAAATACAAACTCCTGAAGATACATGAATGCATAAAGGTTCTCACATGCACACACGTGCAGTGCGGCTGTCTGCCTCCCACATGCAGTGTTTGTGACGCAAAGGAAAAGTCATTAAACCCGCACTTCCTCTCCAAACAGAAGAGAAAGAAGAAAAGGCCGTCTTACATGAAACACACAGGAAATGTGTGAGTAACTGCCTGTATGTATGTGTGTGTGTGTGTGTGTGACTGTTTGTGTATGTGTGCACATGCACGTGTATGTCCCCTGATCTGAAGTTCTGCCCCTAGGGCTTCTGACCAATGTCTCGTAATTGCTTGCCTTTGATTGCTTTCATTGAGTAGACTACAGCTACAATTACAGACAATTAGAACACACAGCTAAGGGTTGGCCTGCTCAGCAGACAACGGTGATCTTGCGGGTTCAGCATTTGTCTAAAGCGTCTCCCCGTTATTTCCACATTTAGACATGACTGAATTACATTTAACTGGAGAGTACCCAATTGAGTTATGTAATGTCCAATTCTTTATTTTACGAATCAGCATTTTAAATTAATTAACAGAGGTGATTGGACAATGTAAGAACTGGACACATTGTTGATTACTGTAAACACGTCCCAGATTCACCTTAAAATAATGACAGATTGTGAGCTTTTCAAAAATAACACATAACACGCACGGTAGGTAGCTCTCAGCTTTTTGTTTGTGTGCTGGATCACGCTGGATGTGTTTTTCAAACAAGGCAGCAAACCGTAAAATATCTTAACTCATATATGGCTTCAAGTGACTTCACAAGTTTCATTTCTCCCTTTGCAAAGGTACAAACAGTTGGCAGCTTCTGCTTTTTTATGGAACTTATGGTTCTAATTGTGTAACTAATCAGTTGACAAGTAAGTGTGCGTGTGTGTGTGTTTCTTGTGTCTTTGAATACATGTACTATAATTTTACATAACACCCAAACCAGCACTTCCTTGTGTTTCTGAGTGAGTGCATATTTATCTGCATCATCAGTCAACATCAACAGTCAGCGATACTGTATGTGTGTGTTTCTATATGAATGTAGTGTACTGTCTAAGCATGTTGAATGTGTGTATATATATATAAATATATAAATGACTGACACAAAGTGGCAAGGAGGACAGAAAGAACAACAGAAGACAGGGGAAAACAGGGAGAAAACAAAAGATTCAGATTCAGAAAACTCAATCACTTCATGGCTGAAGGTGGAAGTCTTAGCTGTCTGCACTAAATCATGTCAACATACAGTACACACACACACACACACACACACACACACACACACACAATGTTGTGAAAAAAGCAACACAGAAAGGTGAAGGACAGTTTTTCTGACTTCCATGGGGAAGAGTACTCCCCCTCACACACGCAAACACACACATTTACACACACACACACAAGTGGAATAATTTGGACACTGTCTAATCTCTGCATACCTCTGCCATGAACATCTGTCTCCTCAGTAGGATCCAAACCGTTAATAAAAGGCAGGCTCACATGCAGACACACACACACACAATCTCTATTTTTCTCTCACTCTATTACACATACACACCTCACTCAGACGAAATAGATGGCTACATTTGGCCCAGTCTCCATGTGTTACTGGTTCAGTGTTTTATCACTGTCATTTGTGTTTGTTTGTTTGGGTGTTTTTTTTACCATTTTTTAAATAGAACTATCCATGTTCATACAATAAGTTAATACTGAGCCTTATGCAATATTAAACTGCATTATGTTGTTTCTCAGGTGTATAACTTTCTTCACTGCTAACAGCAAACAATGGCTCAGGTGCTGTTTATTGGCATGTGAAAAGGGAAAAGGGTATGTGCGTGCAGAATTGGAAATCCCCCCCCACACCAGCAGACACAAAAACATGCAGATGTTACTAACTTTAATCTTTAACTTTTCAGCTTTAGGGGGAACAATTTGCTTTGCACTCTTCAAAGGGACAGTTTTAGTGTTTTAGATTCTAATCTTTAAAACAGGTTTGGATGATGTTTGTGTGTGTGTGTATGTGTGTGTTTCCCTTTGCATCTGGTTGCTCTCTGTTGGTCTCAGTTATTCTGTTTACTCGACCATGATGAATCTCAGTGTACAATAAATATTTGTCATAAAATGCATGACAACCATGTCCTCATGTAGTTGAATTTCAAAACGTATGAAACCCTGAAAGCAAACTATTTTCTGTTTAAAGGGCATGCTGCGGTGGGACATAATGAGGAGAAAGTTCATTGCAAGGTACAAACCAAAGAAGCAGATGAGGCCTAAAACAGAATACAGCTTGAACATTTGGAGACTTATAGCATTACCTTAACTTAAAACAAGTAATCAGTGTTTCATCATCTTCACGTCCACAGTCAGACTTGGTTTTGTAGGTTTATGAAATTCATAGGTCTACATTTCCTGTTTCGACCCGGTAAACAACTTACATGTGCACACGAGTGCTGTGACGGTATCATTTAGAACTTTTTGAGAACTGCTGTAGCTGAAATGTCAGAGTCAACTGTGGGAAACTGCACATAGTTGGATGCATAATGAAGGGGAAGTACCAACAGACGCAACTTTCTGTTGCAATTTCCCTTCTGTCAGTAACTTTGAATAGTTTTATATCTCCCAGTCTGGTATATACAGTGTCTGTCTACTTTGCAATGTATTTATACATTTACTTTACTACTTATTCCTCATGTTGGGGTCTGGTGGGGGAAAAAAAGAAATTTGCTCACATTTAATTAAACCAGTGTTCATTATCAGGCATTTCTCTCAAACACTGCTAAATTACATGTATTCATGATTTGTATCCATTTTTCATGCATTCAGTAACAACATCTAATTACATCATAAATGCAAGGAACACGGTAGCTGTAATTTAAAAGGTTATTAGTGTATATTGCCAGTAAAAAACACATTAGCTTAGTGCCTTACCTTGGCACTCCAATTCCCCTGTACATTCAAGGTCTGGAGCCAGTGAGGATTCCTCCAGTGTTAATTAAACCGTGTGTCTTGGAGAGAATTAAGGTCGTGATCTCCCAGACCTCACCACTCCCACACTTCCTGAGAAGAAAAGAGAGAAGAAAAGAGACTTAATGAAGGAATAAAAGGATGAAATGACTTAATGAACTGCCTAACGAGGCCTGCGGCCGTTTAATAAGGGCTTATTAAAGCTCAATTAGAGCAGTAATCCAGCTTGTTTGGAGTCAGTCAGTGTTGACTTGTGGCTGATTGTGTTTTTATGGTTGCTGCATAAACAAGGAAGCATTGTCATTCCGCAGGAAGGAAGACAAGCTCAACAGTATGTGTGTGTGCGTTTGGGTGTGTGCGTGTGTGCGTGGTTCAAAAAAGATGGATTTGTAAAATGATTAGGTGAGAGCTTCAGGTGACATTTTGATCCCAATGTTTGTCAATACTTATGGTCGATTTCTCAGCTTCTCGAAGGGAATCGGCTGCCATATAATACCTTCACGTCCCTATGTGACAGCCAGAACTCAAAGCACCACACCTAGTTTTGCAGATCATGTTTTTGGATCTGATACGAGGAAGTTGCTTTATGGACCTTAGCAAAATGAGTCACGTGGTTTGTATAACCCAAATGATTCAGCTGGCAGACTCCTCATTGATTCAAACACAATACACAATGTTTCTTCTGTAGACATCAGCGTGACTCACATGAGTCAGAGACAAAGCTGCATTGCGCCTTAGGACACATCTAAAGAGAGTGTAAGGTATACAGCACACTTGAAGCTGCAGATTTTCATTATTCAGACAGTGACGCCATCACCCCTTAGAGGACTGAGTCAACCTCACAGTATGCGTTGTGTCCTACTTGTATGGGAATGCCTAACCACTCTCATTACTATCGCCCCCTGCTTTGTCTCTCTGAGTGATTCGTTTTATATAAGTGATTCACATTTGTAGTGCCCGAAGGCCCTTGTATGGGCATTAGCAATATCCAGTGGTCTCAGCAATAAAAGGGTTTACTCATCCTTCTTCCTGATCATGTGAGAACCCACCAGACGACCCTGTGAGACAATACGTTGTACTGCGCCGTACAGTATGTTTATGAAATGTGGATTCAAATGAATTAGATGACTAAATGTGGCCACCCAGTTTTGTTCGCCTGAAAGAGACGTGGCACATTCAGACAGAGGATCTAGATAGCTGTTCACAACTGCCCCGATTTTAATAACTGTATTGGTATGCTGTTGGGTAGTGTATAAAAAGCTGGCCAGGAATATAATGAACATGATAAATAGCAAAGACATCATCCTATGAACTGTTAACTCCATTGAGACCATCCAGCAGATCCTAATGATCTGCACTTAGGGATTAAGAACGGCGCACTTTCTCAAATATACTAACCCATTAAGCTAACCAATATGATTCAGTCTTTGAACAAAACCAGCATTTTGATCCAGTACCACAGAGTTAGTAAAATACATAATATAATAATACTTTACTGACATAGGGGTGCGGCCTGTTTGGAGTGACTAGCAAGCATAAAACAGCGCAGCCAAGAGTGATAAGCTGAGACTCCTTCTCAATCAGGCTTCCAATCCGACCTCTCTTTATGCCCGAATATCTTATCATAGCTATGTTTCCAAATCCCCCTCAAGACAAACATTTGAAGTAATATTAGCTTTTGAGTCTGTTATCTTATCTAAAAACGTAATTTGACTCTGTGTATCAAGGCAGAAATGGGGATCCCTGTCAGCCCCTTCCATATGGGAACAGCTGTCCTGGAGTCGACATCCAGTGGCCATTAGAAGAACTGCAGTAAGGAAGAACGTAAAAATGAGCAATTAACCAAATACAGTGTGTGTGTGTGTGTGTTTGTGAGTGGTTGAAATAGATTCTAATACCCATGAGCACAGGAAAATCACACACTGACATATTTAATATTCTGTAGTGTATGCTGTATATATGACTCAGATGCATGTTGTATTTGCTGATTAAAATCTCTACTACAAAATCAATTAAAGTGACATGCAAAGGTAGACACAGTGGTGTACACAGTCCATTCACCCCACAGGGACATTTGATGCATATTGCTAGAGCTAGATTTAAGCAAGATGACATCACATAGGTGTCAGCTCTCTGTGAAAACTCACCACTTTGCTAAAGTTGTGTGTGTAGGTGCGTGCATGATTGTGTCTCTGGCATTTTGAGCATTTGGCTTTTTTTATTTTGTATCATCTACCACAAATACACACACACCCTCTCTCTCCTTAGGAAACTGCTGACAAATAACAAACACACACCTTTCTAGTGCTGTGGTCATCATTTTCCACCATGCTGTCACTTTCAGAGTGCTAATCCACCAGAAGAGTTTTACACACTACTATTTAAGTCACTTAGCATTACCCTTGCCAATAGGATTTAACTCATTTTGCCTGTAGCACTTTTGGTTTTAGTTAAACACAGCTGAATGATTCCCTCAATCACTTATGGCAGATTAATCCTTGCTTCCAAGTTTCCCTAATTAACTTCCTAAAATCAAAACCATTTGGAGGGTGGAGGAGCATTCTGTGTTTAGACCCAAACATGATGGGGTTTAGATTTTTAACCTTAAGCTCTCGGTGGTTAGGATTTTTTTGAAATGCTTTCAACCTTCTTGATTCCCCATTTTTATATTAGTTTCAGGTTTTACACATATGCTGACAGTGTCTGAGAATTATGTAATTTAACCCAAGGGCAGACTGGAGTCACCCTCCAGAGGGTTATTAAACTGATTTTAGACATTACAGCGTAGATACATTTTGAACATCGAAGAGAGATGTGTGACAGCATTTCACAAGGCAGGTTTGAACTCTTGCAGTCACAGTTCATGGACCGTGTCGCTGGCAAGTCTACTGCTCTGCTAAAACACTTCAATCCCCTCCATTTATGTCCAGAACGCCAAACAGCTGACAATTTCCTGCAGACGGGCCAAGGACTTCCATTGTTGTCATATACCTCCCCTCTTCCAGACATATGTCAATTTTATGTCAGCGGATTAGGGATGCCAGTTATTGTTCTGCAGCATGAGGATGATGTCAACTTTCCTACAGGGCAGTTTCTGTGAGATGTAGACAGCAAAGCAGGTGACAATCCCTGCAAAGATGCCAACACATCACATCATTTACAAAACTACATCCCTGCTCTTCAGCTCAGTCAGTTGTACCCTGGAGAGTGATAGAGGGGGGAAATAATGATGTCATCTTTCCAATGGGGCCCTAAATGTTGGAGTTATTATGCTTGTGTGCTGAGCTCTGGAAGACTATGATAATGATGATGGTGGTTAGAGCAGTGTAGATGATGATGATGATGGTGCTGGTCAGTGCAGTGGTCATAGTGGTGATGACAATGACAATGCAATCTTCCCTAAAGCCCCCTTTTAACAGCATGAGCAGTTCACTATACTTCTCTCTTGGTAGTGCTGTAGAAAAAACAGTGCTTGTATGACTTCAGCCGATTTACCTCTGTTTATCAAAACACTCTTGTTGAGTGGTGGAGGCACTACTCCTCCTAATGTCCTCAGTAATGTATCTATTGATATTAAGATCATGAATGGACCATGAATTGGGGGGTAAATTAAGCTTACTTTGAATTTTAACATGATGTGTTACAATGTTCACCATTAAAATCACATCCCATTATCACATTTTGAATATTGTTTTGGGTTTTTTTTTTTCAAACTGTGGTAAAAGTATTTTAATCTGAATGGGTAAAGAATTTATAGTTTTAATGTAATTTGGTCCCACATGATCTACTAACAGGAGCCTTTTTTTCTACATTACTTATTTTTGCTCTGGGGATGTATAAAATATGTAACATACTTTAGTAAGAATAAGAATGTACTAACTCTTTCTGCAATATGACATAATATCTGCCATGATGTATGATGTGGTATGTATATATATATATATATATATATATATTGTGTTATCCATTTACTCAAATGTAGTCCTCTTTTGATTTTCACAACAAGGACTTCCTTCTTCTAAAAGCTGAGCAAGGCAATTATGTCACTCTTAATCATGAGTTGACATGATGAAAGGACCAAAAATGATTAGGCTGATCTAATGAAATTACTCGTGTTTTTATGAAAAGAGCCCACATGTTTATTAGGTGTTTAAACTGTAGGCTCCAGTGATTAATAGCAGTCCATCCTGCATTGCTATTCTCAGCAAAACATATGAGACACAGTGTGCGCTCACTGTTTGTATTCCCATCAAAAGCAATTGCTTCAACATGCTCGAGTTTCAACTGTGAGTGTATAAAATATCGTGTTTTTATATTTCACTTATTTCCAAAGATTCCCTGCTATTTTCCAGTTCCACCCCTGTGTGTTAGTGCTAAACTATAAATCATGTCACTCTGCCACTGGGCTTCTTGCTCATTATGGCTAAACTGATAACGCATGCGGAGCAGCTTTAACTGTTAAAACCTTTCGACATTAAACGGCTGACTATGCCAAAGCTTTTAAAGGGCAAGCATGCAAAAATCAATTTGAATAAATCAATTTCTTTAGCCAGGCCGTAGTAAAACACATCAATACAGGCCAGAGTGTCAACATTGCTGTCATATTGTAAAGGATACTATTGTTGGGAGGCTGAGAGATGCAACGCTCTTACTGGAATTCAAATCTAATATGCAGTCTGATTCAGAGATTGGAGTTCTCACCTCTGCTTTGGTGTTGTTTAGCTTCCAAAAGCTGCACCAAAAAGCCCACTAAGAGTTACATTTTAACAGGCATTTGTATCTTTGTTTGTTTCCACTGGTTTCGGTTGTTTCCAAAATCTTCCCCATCTCCTACATTTTCAAGTTACACCCTTGTGTGTTAAACTATATCTAGTTTTACAGAAGGCATGATGTCATTCTGCCTGCGGGGCTTTCCCACATCCACGGCTCAGCTGATAACACATGTGGTGGAGAACTGTTAAAACACATGGGTGTGTAGCAGTTTTTAAACTCCTAACCCATATCAACCTTCCCTGAGAAACAGAGAGGAGGGGGTTTGGCAAAGAAAAACAGGTCCCTTTTTCCCTGCCGGCAACCATCAGCTTTAAAGCTCA